GGAGGAGGAGGAGGAGGAGGAGAAGAAGAAAGGCGCCCCCCCCCGCCCCGACGGCGTCGCACACGCCGGCTCCGTAGCGCCGCTCGGCCTCCGCGCGGCCGAGCTCGAACACGGCGACCTGGGCGGGGGGGGGCGCCGGGCAGGGGCGGCGGCTCTCGGAGCGGGGGAGGCCGGTGCACCAGAGGAGTACCTCCTCCTCCTCCTCGTCATCATCCTTCTCCTCCTCCTCCTCCTTCCTCCCTCCTCTCTCCTCCTCGTGCCTCCTCCTCTCCTCCTCTTTCTCCTGCTCCTCCTCCTCCTCCTCCTCCTCCTCCTCCTCCTCCTCCTCCTCTTCCTCCTCCCCCTCCTCCTCGGCGGCGCGCCGAGGGGGGAGGTGAGAGGGTGCGGGCCCGCTCAGAAGGCGGCGGGGCTCTTCGGAGAAGGCCCGGCCTGGCTCCTCTCTGCTTTCCCCCGCTTGAGCGCGCCGCTGACACGGGGGAGGGCGGCTCACAAGAGGAGCTTCAGGACGCTGCTGCCACCCGTGCTGTTCAGGCCCGGTCGGGCACGCGCGCTCAGAGGCTCAGAGTCTCAGGGAGGGCGGGAAACTGGGAAGCTGGAGCGGGAACTTGGAGGAAGGAGGGGCGGCGAAAGGGTGGAGAGCGGGGGGGAGGTGCGGCGGTGGGGTCAGGGAAGGGGCGACAGAGAGGGAGATAAGGGAAGAGGGATGACGAGAGGGCTCGTGGAGGGGAGGGGGATTTGGGGGTCCAGATAAAGGGAGGGGAACGGGTGCGTAGGAAAGGGTGTTGTACGGGGGACGCACGCGAACGGAGATAAGAAGTATGATAGGATGTGAGAAAAGGACGGCACTAGGGAGAGGATGGGGAAGGGATTGTGGCAGGCGGGTCAGGGTGGGTGGGTTAGGGGGCGTCAGGGGAGAACGGATGAAGAGAGTGAGGGAAATAATGGGGAGGGAGGGGCGAATGTACAGGCATAACTATGTGTTCACAAGTTTGTGTAGTAAACATAGAGAGATAGAGAGAGAGGGCGAGAGAGAGCGAGAGGGAGGGAGAGACCAACCTACATCCGTATAGCATGTGGAATGAATTCTGTGCCCAGATATGCATGTACACTTCTATAGGGAGGGCGCTATGTGTGTGTGCCTATCTATATTTATATAACATGCTCTGCAGGCGGTGCTTGCGCCGGGGGGGCCTTGCTTCTCTCCTGCGGGGCCGGGCCCGTGCGCGGCCCTGGCGGCCTCTGTGCCCGTCCGTCGCCGTCCCTCCTCAATGCAAAACTTGTTTGATCCGCGGGTCGAGAGCGCACCTCTTCCGGTCGAAGCTAAGCGGGCCGCGCACAGCTTTAAATAATTCGCCGGCCCAACGGGCCAGAGGCGTGCTAAGATGTCCGGGAACTGGTAAACAGTATTTCTGGTTCGCGCGCGCGGGGCGGCCCCTGGGGGTCCCTGGATCAAAAGTACTCCGGGCGGAGCCCGGGCGGAGCCCGGGACACTCCCCCAGATCCTCCAGGATCGCCCCAAGAGGGCCCCAAGAGGCCCCAAACACAATCCAAGAGAGGTCCGAGACGCCCGAAGATCGCTCCACGGCGCCCAAGATGGCCTCAGACGGCCCAAGAGGTCTCCAAGATGACCCAACAAGCCTCCAAGATGCCCCAAGAGGCCTCCAGAAGCACTCCCAAGAGGGCCCCAAGAGGCAAACAAACAATGCTTTTCCATAGGTTTTGGACAGATTTGGGCGTTTCAACCTTTTCGGTTCCCCGACGCCCCTAAACGGCTCAAGAGGCCTCCAAGATCGCCCCAAGAGGGCCCAAGAGGCCCTCAAAAGGGCCCCAAGACGGCCCAAGACGGCTCCAAGACGGCCCCAGAGGCCTCCAAGACGGCCCAAGAGGGCCCCAAGAACGCCCCCAACACGGTCCAAGAGTGGTCCGAGACGCCCGAAGATCGCTCCACGACGCCCAAGATGGCCTCCGGACGGCCCAAGACGTCTCCAAGATGGCCCAAGAAGCCTCCAAGATGCCCCAAGAGGCCTCCAAGAGAACTCCCAAGAGGGCCCCAAGAGGCAAACATCCATGTTTTTTCTTAGGTTTTGGACAGATTTGGGCGTTTCAACCTTTTCGGTTCCCCGACGCCCCTAAACGGCTCAAGAGGCCTCCAAGATCGCCCCAAGAGGGCCCCAAGACGGCCCAAGATGGCTCCAAGACGGTCCCAGAGGCCTCCAGGACGGCCCAAGAGGGCCCCAAGAACGCCCCCAACACGGTCCAAGAGAGGTCCGAGACGCCCGAATATCGCTCCACGACGCCCAAGATGGCCTCCAGACGGCCCAAGACGTCTCCAAGATGACCCAAGAAGCCTCCAAGATCCCCAGGAGGCCTCCAAGTGCATTCCCAAGAGGGCCCCAAGAGGCAAACAAACAATGCTTTTCCATAGGTTTTGGACAGATTTGGGCGTTTCAACCTTTTCGGTTCCCCGACGCCCCTAAACGGCTCAAGAGGCCTCCAAGATCGCCCCAAAAGGGCCCAAGAGGCCCCCAGAGGGCTCCAAGATGGCCCAAGACGGCTCCAAGACGGCCCAAGAGGCCTCCAAGACGGCCCAAGAGGGCCCCAAGAACGCTCCAAGAACGCCCCAAGAGGGGGTTCACGAAACAGAATTTCGAGCTCTCGGCCCTTAGAGGCCCCCGGGAGGCCCCAAGAGCCCCCCAAGATGCCGCCAAGGAGCCCCAATAAGCCCCAAGAGGCCCCCAAGAGGCCCCTAGGAAGCCCCAAAGAGGCCCCCAAGAGTCTTCAAAGAGGCCCCATAGAGCGCTCGAGGGCCGGCGGAATGAGCGAAGCGACTAAATAAAGGGCCCTCAATGCAAAACAAATTATCCCGGCAAAGCAACCTAACATCGATGTGTAGGAGCATATCTGGAAGCATTCCCCTTAAGATTCGGATGAGAATCCAGTTGTAGAATTCTGCTGTTCTCGCAGTCGTAGTCGCATTCGCGATGACAGTCGCAGTGGCAACGGCAGTCGCAGTCACAGCCTCAGCCTCAGCCTGCCTCAGCCTCAGCCTCAGCCTGCCTCAGCCTCTGCCTGCCTCAGCCTCAGCCTCAGCCTGCTTCAGCCTCAGCATCAGTCTGCCTTCAGCCTCGGCCTCCGCCTCAGCCTGCCTCAGCCTCAGCCTGCATCAGCCTCAGCCTCAGCCTCAGCCTGCCTCAGCATCAGCCTGCCTCAGCCTCAGCCTCAGCCTGCCTCTGCCTCTGCCTCAGCCTGCTTCAGCCTCAGCCTCAGTCTGCCGTCGGCCTCGGCCTCAGCCTCAGCCTGCCTCAGCCTCAGCCTGCATCAGCCTCAGCCTCAGCCTCAGCCTGCCTCAGCATCAGCCTGCCTCAGCCTCAGCCTGACTCTGCCTCAGCCTCAGCCTGCTTCAGCCTCAGCCTCAGTCTGCCTTCAGCCTCGGCCTCAGCCTCAGCCTGCCTCAGCCTCAGCCTGCATCAGCCTCAGCCTAAGCCTCAGCCTGCATCAGCATCAGCCTGCCTCAGCCTCAGCCTCAGCCTGCCTCAGCCTCAGCCTCAGCCTGCTTCAGCCTCAGCCTCAGCCTGCCTTCAGCCTCGGCCTCCGCCTCAGCATGCCTCAGCCTCAGCCTGCATCAGCCTCAGCCTCAGCCTCAGCCTCAGCCTCAGCCTCAGCCTGCCTCAGCATCAGCCTGCCTCAGCCTCAGCCTCAGCCTGCCTCAGCCTCAGCCTCAGCCTCAGCCTGCTTCAGCCAAAGCCTCAGTCTGCCTTGAGCTTTGGCCTCAGCCTCAGCCTCAGCCTGCCTCAGCCTCAGCCTGCATCAGCCTCAGCCTCAGCCTCAGCCTGCCTCAGCATCAGCCTGCCTCAGCCTCAGCCTCAGCCTGCCTCAGACTCAGCCTCAGCCTGCTTCAGCCTCAGCCTCAGTCTGCCTTCAGCCTCGGCCTCAGCCTCAGCCTGCCTCAGCCTCAGCCTGCCTCGGCCGCAGCATCAGCCTGCCTCAGCATTCAAAATGTGGCCCAGAAATGGAGTTCTGGGAACTAGAAGAACATGAAGTGGCCTACAGTTGGCTCCGGGCATTCAAAATCATGCCCAGGAATGGAGTTCTGGGAACTTGAAGAGCACGAAGTGGCCTACAGTTGGCTCCGGGCATCCAAAATGTGGCCCCGGAATGGAGTTCTGGGAAATCGAAGAGCACGAAGTGGCCTACAGTTGGCTCCGGGCATCCAAAATGTGGCCCGGGAATGGAGTTCTGGGAAGTCGAAGAGCACGAAGTGGCCTACAGTTGGCTCCGGGCATCCAAAATGTGGCCGGGGAATGGAGTTCTGGGAAGTCGAAGAGCACGAAGTGGCGTACAGTTGGCTCCGGGCATTCAGAATGTGGCCCGGGAATGGAGTTCTGGGAGGTCGAAAAGCACGAAGTGTGTGACTGTATGCGAAAAACGATGTTCCGCGGATCCCCCCCGGGAATCCCCAACGGCCCCCCCAACGGCCCCCCAACGGCTCCCCAACGGCTGCCCAGACCCCCCTGTGGAGTAATGTGCTGCTCTCTTTTTACCCTATTATCCCGGCAAAGCAACCTAACATCGATATGTAGAAGCATAGCTGGAGGCATGCATCAGCCTCAGCCTGCATCAGCCTCAGCCTCAGCCTCAGCCTGCCTCAGCATCAGCCTGCCTCAGCCTCAGCATCAGCCTGCCTCTGCCTCAGCCTCAGCCTGCTTCAGCCTCAGCCTCAATCTGCCTTCAGCCTCGGCCTCAGCCTCAGGGCCTGCCTCACGGCCTCAGCCTGCATCAGCCCTCAGCATCTGCATGCCTCTGGCTAGCCTGCCTCAGACTCAAGCTTCAGCCTGACTCAGATCGCCTCAGCCTGCTTCAGCCTCAGCAGCAGTCTGCCTTCAGCATCTGCCTCAGCCTCGCCTGCCTCAGCTCAGCCTGCCTCAGCCTCAGCCTCAGCCTGCCTCAGGCTCAGCCTCAGCCTGCTTCAGCCTCAGCATCAGTCTGCCTTCAGCCTCGGCCTCAGCCTCAGCCTGCGTCAGCCTCAGCCTCAGCCTCAGCCTGCCTCAGCATCAGCCCGCCTCAGCCTCAGCCTCAGCCTCAGCCTGCCTCAGCCTCAGCCTCAGCCTCAGCCTGCTT